AAAATCAAATAGATCTATAAACATATGAAAATTTTGAAATAGACTTTGTAGATAATATATTGTAAAATACACTATTTTTGAGACTTAAAATCTTTTTATTGCTTATGGTCATACATCTCGATGTCGAGATGATCAATCAAAGGGTTTTTCAACATTGAAACTATCTTTTCAGATGGATTTTTGAGGTGTATCCGTAGTTCTATATATAAGGTTGCAATCTTATATAAACTTTTTCCAATCATAAATACACAAATTTGCAGTTATCGTAGTCAAGAACATACAATCAAATGATTTTATAGTGAAGGGGAGAGAGCGAAGGATACACCAGGCTCCATGTCCGCCCACCTCATCATCATCGAATAGGTAAAATCGACAGTGATGTTAATATCTTAGCATGTTGAACTTTATGTGACCTCAACAACATATAAGGTATATGTGACCATACTTTTTAGAAGTTCGATTTGAATCAAGCGGCTACGATTGTCCATATTACAATGTCACGTCAAATATTGTTCTATTTTTTATTTTTTTTTACAAAAATATTTTTAGGTGAAATTTTGGGCATCCCATTGTAAAATTAGAAAAAACTTATAAAAACAAATTTATTTAAAAATACATGACCAAAGTGCCTCTACAAATTTCAGAGGTATTTTAGTAAATTTATCACTAAAAATATTTATTTTATTTTTTATCATGTGTGCTTCTGTCAGATCTATGTATGTCTCAAATTTTGTTTCAAAGTTATTTATAGAATAAAAATAAAAAATAAAAAACTATGTGCCATATGATCAAGGTCATTATGATCAAGGTCTGAAGATTACGAGCTAGTTTGTGATATTGTGACTCAAGCCATCAACTCAGATGGCTGAGTCCAGAAGTCATATCTATTATTTAAGTGGTTGAGGTCATATAGAAAGATACTTATGTATAAAATGGTCGATATAAATTGGGAGGGTTACATAGCACACGCTTGTAGAAAATAAAAGGATGGAGAGAGAGGGCGGAGCGGTTTTGGTTGAGAAGAGAGAGAACCTCAATTCCCACTCCAACTTTTTTGTAAAATTGGTTGGGTGCCCCTTAATCCCTAAAATACAGCCCTTGTGTTTTGCACTTAAAAAACCATTTTTTGGTGATATGATAGTGACAAAAAATAAAATAATTTAAATGCTGCTCCAATAATCATATAAGACTTTTTTCTACTTATGTGTATAGGACTTCAAAGGACCACCATTAAATTTGGCACGGAT